CGAGGTGGCCTCCAAAAAATTGTTTGTTTTTATTATTTATTTATTTATTTTTTATTTATTTTTTTATTTATATATTTAGCTTTACTTTATTTTATTTTCATTTGATTTAGTTTATACCACATTTTTTATTTTATTATTAGTTAATTAAAATTTTTAGAGTTGAATTTAATTAAAAAGTCAACAGCAACTAAATGAAAGTAACGTTAAAAAAATATAGAACTTGTAAAAAAATTAATAAACACTAAATAAATGAAAACTCTACTGGCCGTGGGACTCGAACCCACGAGCTTGCGTCGCATTAGTCCGCATTGCTGCGGTCTGTCGGGGCAAAGTTATTATGCGCATTTGTGTGCTAGTTAAACTGCATAAGCATGCCCGTCTGTCTTGCGTTTTACCTACTTACCGAGATGTTTCCGATTTCCCCTTAGGGCATCCAGGACCAACATTTTCAAATGTTTGTCAATGCAATACGGTTGCCTAATTAACGTTTTTTAAACCCTCCTTTTAAGGACTACTTTATGCCACGAATAGCAAGTATTACACCCTCAGTCGTTCAGGATAAGTAAGATTCCTAGATAAGGCTACTTGTAATGCTCTGCAGAGGATTTCCTCAGACCTCTCTAGATTTTTAAGCGAATATTAAAGCATAGACAGACGGCAGCGTTGTTTCGGATCAACTCGTTAATTCGGAATTATCTCAGGAATTAAATGCAGTTGATCCGGATTAAGTCCTAGAGTTAATTTCCAAAATTAATTCGGATCATGGGAATTTTACAAGTCTGTTGGCTCGATCCTCGATTGGCGTGGTTGCCAAAATTTTATTTTATTTTTTTTTTACTTTTTTATAATTTTTTTTATTTTTGTTCATTTATGTAATCTATTTTACTTTATTTTATTATTAGTTGATTTAAATTTTTAGAATTTAGTTTTATTAAAATAGTCAACAACTAACTGAAAACACGATTAAAAGATATAAAAAGTTATAATTGAATGAATTAAAAATATAAATAAATGAAAATCCGACTGGCAGTGGAACTCGAACCCACGACCTTGCGGCTCGATAATCCGCATTACTGCCATCTGTCAGATCGCAATTTTCATGAGATCAACTGCGCCGTTAATTCGGATCAAAGTTTCTGACTTTTTATGCTTTTGGTTGACACTACAAGGGGGTTCCCTTCCTTTTAGAGAAAGCTTCTACAGAAATCGTTATGCGGAACTCTGAATCTGGCGGTCATATGGCCAATGGTCTCGTTGCCCGATAGTATACGTTAGTAGCCACGTGTACGGGTCACTTGCCCCTTTGTGAACCTTCAACAAGGGTGGGTCCCCCGTACAGCCTTCTGCGCTGCATCTGTAAACTCAAAAGAAGTAGGGAAACAGTCTTCCTCAACCGAATCGGATGATCAGCACTGGCTTGAGGCTTCTTCTATCCATACTTTCACCAGCTAAAAAAAAAACAATCAAGCAGATAGCTCACACGCTGATTGCATTCAACTTTTCCAATGCGATTTTAAATTACGCTACCCGCATAACGACTGCCAATCTTAATTTATTCAATTGTGCAGAAAATAGTTATACAAATGTTTTATGTCCGAGATCGCTTAACGTTTGGAAAATTTTCAAACAGCATACCCACCGCCGCCGCCGCCGCCGCCGCCGCTGCAATTCGCTCCGCATTCACTTTGCATTTAGCCTACCCATACAATTAAATACCTCTGCGCTGGTCAATGCAATTGTTCTTGTTTTTTTGCTGCCTGCTGCCACAGCCCCGCACAGTTTCCACCACAATTTCCACATTGGCTACCGACACGTAACCAAACGAGCAACCAAAACTTTTTTCTCTTTTCATATGCAGCGCCGCCGCTGTGGTTCTGACGCTGCGGCGGCTGTGTGTCCATTGCCGTTTGGCTGCAGTTGGCACAACAATTAGTGCAACACCGAAGTGCAGCAGCTCATAAAAAGTAGTTAATTGCATTTTTATGCAAATCGTAAACATTAAAATAATTACAGTTGTTGACTCGTGTTTCGAGCTGATTTCAAAATAAAATAAAAAATAATAAAAAATTACAGAAAAAATAGTGGAAAAAAAGCAAATTGCATACAAAATTCGTTGGTAAAATGTAAAAAAAAAAAACAAATTAAAAAGCAGAAAAATGCCTACGAAAAGCCGACAAAAACAAAATTTGAAATGCATTCATTGAGCAGGAAACTAGCGGCTGCACGATGACTGTGCAAAATTTGCAAAATCCTCTACGAACAAAAAAAAAAAAATTGCAATAAAATTAGCTTAATGCCGCTGCAGCCCCGCTCCCCGCTCCCCGTTCGCTGTGGCCGTGTGGCGAGCGTTGAGCGCCCAATGTGCGTTCAATTTGTAGGCGCCTGATAACAGACATACCCGTACATATGTATGTATGTATGCATGTGTGTCGTACGAGTACACACAAGCGGCCCCGTCAAACATGTTGTTGTCACAAGCGTGGCGAGTGCGCGCGAACGTTTATGTGGATCCGGATATAATTTACTTGGCAACAGATTTAATGTCTTGTAAAAATGCGCGATTAGCAGCCACTGGCACACATGCCACACGTACATACATACAAACGTGCCTACATACATACATACATAGGTGATAAAAAAGTGTTTTTGCCGTCAACAGCAAGCCGATAAAGTTGTTGTACATAGATTTTTTTTTTTATATTTTTGCTTTTACATTTTTTTTTTACTTTTTTAGTAACAGCCTGACGACTGCCGTTCGCTAATTGCCACTTAGGCGGCTAATTTAACAAGACTTAGGAAAATAAATTAACTAAATTGGAAAAATATATATTTAATTTTCATACCTTGGTGTATAAATACTTATACACATATATTTATATGTATATGGTAACACTAGACGAAGTGTAAATCTAAGATTATTATAATTTAACATGTAAATAAATTAGAAAAAAAAATAAATGCAAAATATATGCCTTGACAAGTTGTTACATTCCAACACTAATGATTTATTCTGTTTAATAAAAAACTGGGCATGACTTCAATTACCAATATATCATTTATAATTAATGTATGAAGTTGTTTGCTGTTGACTATTGACTGCTTGGTTTAATATTGCATGTGATGGATTTGAGCTTAAAACACTCCACCACAAATAAAATTAAATTGGCAAATAATAAATAAGTAAGTACTTAGTTACGCTTCACTGCAGTGATTAGCTAGGAATTTATGGAGGCGTTTTGATATCTGAGGCACTAAACTTCTTAAAGAAATAAGTAGTTCGGCCTGCTAGAAAAGAAAGTGATCGATCATTTGACACCATAACCGGCACCACAACAGTTTTGACCGAAGCCAAGAAACATCACCAGCCATCTCTTTGGCTGGTAAATGTTGTGAGGTGGCTGTACGGGTACTGCATCGTCAGCGCTTAGGGGAAATTCGCCTTGGACATTTTTGTAAGAATGGGGCTAATATGTGGGGCTTCTCTGGATAATGCATCCAAGCCTACTATCATTTAATGGTTTTATCCGAGGGTAGGTCAAATAGACTTAAAAGAAAAGAAAGAAATTTATATTTGAATGTATTTTTAATGCCATAGCATAGCGCGCCACCGTTACCTTTGCTTAAGAGATACTAGAATGTTGAGTTCCTTGCGGATGAGCGGTACTGAGCCCAGGCTTACACATTGTAAAACTTTATTGGTGGTGGTTCCAATACCGATGCTGGGTCAGGACAATCTTCACTACTTTTTGGGGGAAAACGCCTCGGTATTTCAGACCGAGGTATTTGTAATCTTCGTAACCACCAACCTGAACTCAAGTCAAAGGCCATCCCGCTAACTATATACTTCCAAACTAGTTCAGCAATGCAAGTCACGACTAAATAATGTTGGAAAACATTATGGACTTATTTTGGTATGTGCGCCAGGTCACGCAGGAGCAGCAGGTAAGGCGACATCTGACAATTTGGCTAGAGAAGACTCTGATTGGGCGACTAGTTAGGGCGAAACTTATATTGCATTCAAACACAGAATGTCTGATTGCAACGCAGTGATGTCGTAAATCGCAGTTTTTGTTCTGTTTTCTATAGGCATCTGCTATTGAAAATAACAAGATTTGAGTCTGGGCTGGTATTTGCGTTGATGCGTTTCTTAACGTCACGTTTCCAAACTTGTGCTAGACATTACTGGGAGGGTTTTATAAAAATCAATATTTAGATAGAGCGACACTTCTGATCTTAGACAGGCGTACCTACTTAAATAAATCCAAAAGTCGGGGTGGCCCCGCTAAGGTCACCTTCCTCTGCATCCCATAATAGATGCAAGCCATAAAAAAAAACTTAATTTCCTTCTCTTTGAATTTAAGAGTTAAAAAATGTCTTCATTTTCTATCCACCCGACTTTACTCTGTTCACTTAATTTGCCAAGAAAGCAGCACATTGTGTGTTTGTTTATCTTTTGGAATTTCATTTAAATATTCTAACAACTTCGCAGCCTAATGAAACGTCAGCTGTTCTACATCTTCTGTTATGCAAATTTTCTTAAAAGTAAATTTGTTCAATTGTTTTACAGAATGTATGTATGTATGTATGAAAGAATGTAGCTTCAACTCTTTTTCTAACTGCATCTCACTCGATTGCCCGCCGCACAGTTGCCGCTCGAAATGAACTTAGGTTCAGCTTGGCTCGGCCTCTGCATAGGCAGTTTGGTTGACAAAATTCTATAGCAATTAAATGCAAAATTATTCACTTCGACAGCTGTTAGCAAATTGAAAGCCAACAAATTTTTGTATGTGCTAATACGTGTCTATGTGTCTATGTATGAGTTTATGGATGTTTGTATATTTGTCCACAATGCTGTACTTATTCAATTTATTAAGTTTATTCACATTTAATAAAGCAAGTAAATAAACAGTATCATGATATTAGTAAAATTTTGAATTTTTTTTTATATTCATCTCAAAATTGTTTTGAAGTCGTTCATTTCTGCATTTTATACTTTTCAGAGTACGCCTTATGCTTTGAAAGATGGCAGCTGCAGCGGAAGTGAAGTCACAACGTGGACTTCGACGGGCTTGCCTCCGACGACCGGCTACTACACCTACGATCCAACATTCGGTGCGTATAGGTAAGTGCGGGGAGTGTTGAGTTGTGAAAATAAATTCTAGCAAATTTGCTTATTCGACACAAATTATAGTAGGGGAGTGTTGCGACATAGAACTACAAACTGGGTGTATTCGAGCTGCAATAAATGCTGTAGTGTTATTTTGGCAGGATAAGAGTGACGCTAGTGCTAATAATTCGTAGCTCTGAATTTAAGTTCAGAACAGTTTCTGGAGTGGAAAAGGCTAACATCCACAGCGAAGTAACAAATCACACCCTAAGCCGATATTAATAACAATGAAAAACCCGATAGCGATAAGAAATAGATAATTATATCAATAGCAATGTCGAAAGCGAAAATAATGTCGATAAAAATTGCAAAATATACTAGATAATAATAACGATAATGACGATATCGATAAAAATGTCAATTTTGGTATAGTTGAAAAAATCGAAAAAATATCGATAGCATTTACAAAATCGACTAGTGAAAACGATTACGACAGTTGAGATTAAAAACAACGATAACAATATTTTTTATCGATAACATTGTCGATATCGATTTTGATTTAAATTTTTTTGGCTGATAACAACAAGGTCTACTAATAAATACAATTCCGATAGCAAAAATAATGACGAATGGATGAAAAACTCAACTACGTAAACGCTAAGAAAAACCTTGGAAAAATATCGATAACATTTGCAAAATCTCTGCTGCTGGTTTCAAAGTCGATGATAGCAATAAAACCACGATAAAATTATGTTTATCAATAACACTGTTGATTCGATAAATATACCGTTAATGCTTTAAACATTTTCCCTGGTATCATCAAAGCTAGTTTAGACTTTTTTCTTCTAAAGCGAACTCGATCCCTTGCGCCCCTTAAAATTTAATTTGCACACTGCCTAAGGCTCTCGTTGTTTATTCTTCGAAATTTTTCATAAAATTCTGCAGCATGTCAAACCCTAACCGCAAAAATAACGTAAGCTAAATTTTTTCAAAATTTTCTTTTTGAGGCAGAAATATTCCTAAAGCATCTAGATGCATTATTCCATAAAAAATTTTTTTTTGAAAAGAATGTCGCCCCGTTAGGGCTCGATATGCTCATCTGACAAAGGTCTACATAGATTTTAATGAAGCCATAACCATTTATCTAGTGAAAAAATATCTATTTAATATCTGCCTTTATTTTCCAAATCCTTGCCAATGCCTCAAAATTATTTTCACCCACTTCCTAAAACTTGCTAAAAAAATCAGTTTTCTCACTAAACAAATCTTTGCCAAATTCCACAAAGCGCCGTGACTACCTGAAATCTGTACAAAATCATGACTTGTAAAATGCTTAATACCTGCTAATACCAAAAGAAAACGGCTCCTTTCAAATCCAATCAATATTCTTGCTAGGAATTTCACGACTTCTCCTTTTTCCCATTTTTGGCGCACATAACAGAATGTTAAATTAATTTTTAATCCACATAATATATAAATCGCACTTTGAACTTCACACACAATCACGTGCATGCTCAGCCAAACTTGCGACGGCCACGAACGTTCGATCCATGCCAATGGCTCATAAATGCCAACAAGTACAAGCGTTATAATGTTCTTTGCACATCGCCTGTCGTCTGCACTTCAAAACATACTTAGATACTATACACGCCTGTTTGTGTAGATGTGTGTGTGTGTGTGTGTGTTTACATGTATTCTAAAGAACTTCTTAAATTGTTGGCAAAATTCCGAACTTGTGAACTCGCTGCAATAAAAAGCGAAAACTGAGACGTGAGATAATTCCATCTGGGCCAAAAGCGAGTCAACTCACTCCCCAACGCTATCGCACACACAAAGCCAAACAGATTTTGAGCCAGCCGCTTCACACAGCTTCCGGTTGCTTTNTCGTCTGCACTTCAAAACATACTTAGATACTATACACGCCTGTTTGTGTAGATGTGTGTGTGTGTGTGTGTGTTTACATGTATTCTAAAGAACTTCTTAAATTGTTGGCAAAATTCCGAACTTGTGAACTCGCTGCAATAAAAAGCGAAAACTGAGACGTGAGATAATTCCATCTGGGCCAAAAGCGAGTCAACTCACTCCCCAACGCTATCGCACACACAAAGCCAAACAGATTTTGAGCCAGCCGCTTCACACAGCTTCCGGTTGCTTTAAAAGTGCCTGCTGTGCAGCCACGAGACAGCGTTGCCGAATAGTTTCTCTCACATTCGGGTAAAGTGGCAAAGTGAGGGAGGACGTACAGCAGAATGAGTGGTACGCCGTGGCGTATGATGAACTTGCATACACGCACACACTCACTTCTGTTGGCTGTGCGGCTGGCTGCTTCAGTGACTTCCCGTTTATTTTTTGTTCGCTTATTTGTTGTGTTGTAATTTTGGCAGGCGAACACACTTAAAAATGCGTGCGGCAACTACACATAGCTGCCTGCCTGCGAGCGTTGCCTTTCAGTGCTGCTGTTGTTGTTGTTGTTGTTGTTGACCGAAAAGTCAGCGCAGGCGACACTAAAAAGAAAAAAAGAAGCACAGCAATTGAAACTTTGCCAGACGCAGCCGGCGAGTGGCGAATAGCAAACGACAAAAGCCAAGAAAGCAAAAGTGTCCAGCTTGCGAAGTTAGTTGTGGGGGACGTGGCGCGGTGCGGCGCGGTGCGACAGCAGACACTAAAACGAATTTGGCTTTGCAAAGGCAGTCGCATGCGGCGGCCGGGCCGTTAAATGCTGCCAGGAGACAATGGATAAATGGCGAACGCACGCACGCACGCACGCACGCACACCCGGCAGAACTTAAAAGTTTAAAGTTTTCATTTTCTATTTTCATTCAAGTTGCTGTGGGGTATTGCGAGCTAAATTTTTTTGTTAAATTTTTTTTTGTGAATAAAGAAAAGTTTGCTCTGAAAGTTAGTAAGTTGGGCAAATGGTGACTTTGGTTGTTGTTTTTTTTTTTTGTTTCGAGCATATTCAACAAAATGTAAAAGCATACAAATAAGTTAATATTTATGAAAAAATACCGAATTTTAATTAAATTTAGACAATAATGCAGTGTACTAAATATTAGGGTGGTCCAAAAATGTATGCGAAAAAAATAAGTTTAAAATTTTAAGTTCTCACCACCTGCATTTTTTTTCTAAATGGAGTGATTTCAATATATGTATGAAGGCAATATATATTCCGAATATGAACCAAATCGGACCATGGATAGATACCGCTCATTTTAATTATGTATATCGATTACTGCGCCACCTAGCGGCAAAATACTTTTCGGGGCTATATCTTTTCAAATAATTAATTACTATCCTAAATATAAACTAAATCGGAACAAAAATGATTTTTTTTGAAAAATTTCGACGACCCAGAAAACCTATAGGCGATTTCTTTTGGAGTTATTCTTCTACCGGATATATTTTTTGTGAAGTTATTTCTATTCATGTAAACCTCTTTAGTACCGCGCACTGGTGGCACACTAGTGACTTCACTCGCTTACGCTAACCAACACTAGCTACCAGCCTGATTACCAGCAATGCAATTCACCCATGAATTTGATATGGGAATGTCATTAGCAGTAATAAATTTACACCTACTAGGTTACCATTCAAAAGCCTTCTCACTAGAAGTTGTAATAGTGTATTCACCAGGGAGTAAAATCACCATTCCAATTGGGCTAAAGGTTACCGAACGTACTAGGGGGCACCATACATCCCAAATATGAACCAAGTCCGACCATATATGGGGAGTTTTCAAATATCTGAACTGCTGCACCACCTACCAGATTATTTCATCCTTCATATTGCATTGAAGTTTCAAGTCTCTAGTTCATCGGGAAGTTGGTTAAACGTTGATTTCAAGATTTGATTACAGCCAACGGGGCAGGTTAACCAAAAAAAAAACGTTTAAAAAGGCTGAATATAGATAGTACAATTGTACCTACCTTTCTATCACTGATACCGGGTTGCCACTCGGGGACCGTTTTAAGATGATATATGTGTGTATCTTGGAACGAATTTTCATCAGTGGCGTTCTATCTCCAGTGTCATTTGTCATTTCATACCAATTAAAAACCAAACCAGATTTAAATTTTCCATAGCTTGACAAATTCTATCTCCAAATCATCCTCAGTGATTAAATAGTTTTACATTTCGCTCTTTCGATATTCTTTTGTAAGATAAACCCTGGCCAACAAATAAAAATTCTAATAGCTCAAAGCTAGGATTATTGAATTGCGTATAATCCTATAAAGGGCACGCATTACTTGCCATTCGGTAACTGAATCGCATTAAATTCTGGTAAAACTATTGAACTATTAAGTACTGTAAAACTCTGTAAAAAGCGCATCAAAAGGATTTGGCCATGGCACGGAGTAGTGCGTGAATGCGCAAATAAGCTCCCCGTATCTATGTATGTATTTACGTAGGTATGTTGTACGACTGTGCACACATACACGCCTGCTGTGTGACGTGCAAGAAAAGTATAAAGTTTAATTTAAATTTTTTTCGCAAACGAAGAATTGAGGTAATTAAAAAGTAAAAAGAATGGCAGACCGACAGCAAACACTGCTGCGAACGCATCGGATTAAATGGCAAATGATATGGATAGAAGAAAAAAAAAATCGATAAATGCAAATGCGGGCAAGCATTGTTGTTAACATTTAAATAAAAGCCGACTGCAATAGCTACAATAACGTAAAAAAAAAACCAACAAAAAATAGTGAAATGTGATGCAACTGATGTCAGTGTAGGGCATAAGCGGGGAGTACCAGCGAAGTGTACCAGCGGCCACTTGCAAACGCACAAAAAATGGGCAATGCAAAAGAAATCCTGAAAAAATGCAGCAACAGCAGATTAACCAAGCCGCCAATGGCAACAATAGCAATAACAATAAAAGTTGCCAATTGCAACAAACAATTTAAAATGACAATAATAGTAACTGGAGTGTATGTAGTACAGCAGCAACAACAATAGTCACCGGATGACGTCGTCGTCGATGCACGCTGACGTCGACCGACAATATCAACAGTATC